TTTCTGACATAGCATTGGGAACATTTTCCAAGAAAAACATCATCTAAACATGAAGTAAAGTTTCGGAAGTGGAACGTCAGATTTTTTTAGCATCACCAAGTTTGAAGAGTGCAAAATCTTACCCTCCGGTAGCAGAACAACGGAAAGCCCATCGTTTGATAAATGAGTTGCCCATAAACATATATTGAACACATGTCCATGTCGAGGGGATTTCTCATTGCCATGTTTGAATGACACCGGGGTATAAAATGAAGATAATCTTCCAAGCCTGGTTTCTATGGTAGTCTTGGGAGGTAAGACCCATTGCAGCCACAAATGAACTGGTGATTTTGAGCCTTGAGGTGGTACAACATCGGATTCTTGGGGGACGCGATGTGGAACTGCTTTCAACTGCCCACGAAGGAGAATGCACCCAACAATAAGTATCTATATACAGGAAAGCAATGGTGAGTGGGAAACCTACCAATTCGCTTTGTTGTTCCTTCCGCTACTCTGGTCGCGCACACAATGCACATCATTCTTCCCATAAGAATTGCATGGAATTGCGATATCTCACCACGGGCAGTAATGTTTTGTGAACCCCGTGACTAGAAGTGGTCATTGGGGGGGAGTGGGTGGGGTTGGAGGGTGCAATAACGTTTGTGCACGCCTGAGTACGCACAGACATTGTATGCTCATCACAGGTTCCGCTTCTTGTTCCCACGTTCATAAAATCTCTTACTTCTTGTTCTCACCCTATAATGACATGTTCCGATTCTTGTTTTCATCATGATATCCTACGCTTCTTATTCTCACACTGATGGCATGTTCGCAGTCATGACATCTTACGCTTCGTGTTGTCATGCTCATGGCAAAGCTGCATGTTGCCCAGACACTTCTGGCTTGGTTTAGCAAGACAAAGACTGCTTGAAACTGTAAAAGTCAAAAAATGAAGCTGCCCGGGCAGGGAAGACTGCTTGGGTGCTGTTCAAACATTTACCTTGTGGTGATGGTGATGATGATGATGATGATGAAGTTGGAGACAGTGAGGATCAAGGTCACGCGTGACAACCGGACAGTTGTTGTTTGGAGATACAAAGTACATCAAAGTACAGTAGTACAGCAACATATACAACTCTTTTCACGTTGAATAATGGATTTTCAATATGCCGATATAGAGTATTACTCTATGCGTGACCAAAAAACATCAGAAAAGATCGTGGTATCGTGGCATCGTAGCAGTGGCCGCAGCTCTGGTGATGCAACCACCACTGTTTCATGGATACAATATGCTAATCATAACCATCCATTGCAGCCATTGGAAAATGCCCAAATGCCCGAGAAAATGGTTGAATTTCACGGGGATTCCCAGTTTTCTGAAGATAATCATCTAAGCATCATGTTGACATCCATGTTCAACCCTACACCTAGGAAGTTGAATGATTTGAATCTTTTGTTTCTATTGATTTCAGGTACCAAAGATACACGGACCCGGATATTCCCAATGAATCAAGTCATGGGGATATGACTGAGATGACCAACAATCATGGCCCATGGCGATATGACTGAGATATCTATGGTAAATTGGTAAATACCCCAAGAATATATGGTTTAAAAATAACCATTCTGAATGGCTATAAAATGGGGACTTGTCATGATCACTCGATCCGGGTGCCCGGAACCTGTGCATCGGAAGGGATGGCGCCGGCAAGGTCGCTGCCTGGACATGACAATCAGCAGGAGATGATTCCGGGGATGTGGTGGGGATATCTGTCATAGGGATATCCCGTCTTTTCGGACACCCAAAAAAATGCATGGGGAGATGAAGAATGATGTCAACATATGTCAACTGTTGATTTTAAAAACTTGAAAAAGACAGAACAAATTCACAATAGTCGAGCCATAGCCACATGACCCCGAAAATCCCATCACAATTCTCCTCTATCCACATGACATGGGGAAAGCAAATGGGTCCGTAGCAAGTGGGTTGGTCCAAAATTATGGTAGACCCCAAAATGGCAATGTTCCTTGCATTGGGAATGATGACAATCCATTGGAATTGGTGGATACCCTAATCTTTAGACAAACCCAACTCTCCGTAAGGAATTTACGCAGTGAAATATTCAATTCAAGGCCAATCGTGGATACTCTGCAGACATTCTTTTAGCTGATTTGTATATACATATTTTATATACATATACATATTAAATATATATATATATACATTACATATATATATATATATGCATTATATATATAATATACATAGTATACAGTCCTATTTAAGTAGCAACGGATTCAAGTACTAAACTATCCATGCAACGTTTCCATAGAATTTGTGGCAAGGTTAGTTCAGGGGATAAATCAGGCACCTAAATTGGATGTACTGATTTATGCAAGGGAACATTCACATAAGCTATGGCCTTCTATGGTACAGTATAACTATTTTAGTGTCTGAGAATTCCTACTGATTAATGAATGGATGATCGAGATTCACCCTTATATTACAAACGTTGTTGTTGGTGGTTAATAACCCCAGCCTTACAGTAAGCGCAAAAATTGTTAGTCAACTGCATCGGAGTCCTGTGCCATCGCTTGCTGTGCGGCTCGCATGGCTGCTGCTTGCTGCGCTTGCGCCATCGGGCACTGCGCATACCTCAGAGATGTTAACCCTTTAACCAACATAAATGAGAGCACAACGCACTAAAAGTAACACCAAAAGAAGTGGTAAAATGGGAAATAAACGATACCACCGTTCTCACTTGTGTGAGAGATCAATTGTACGTAGAATGAGCAATCCAAAAACAACATATGGAAACATCATTAGACACAGAACAGGTTTAGAATCTAGAATTATACGTGACATTGTCGTGACGACACTGGCAGCGCCCTCCAAAAACGTTGTTGTGGGGTGTGGTGCACAACCAAACTTGTTACACTTCTCGATTTGCAAGGCACGTTGACCACACCTTTTCCCGCCTTCTTCACGAGGGCGTCCAGCGCCGCACTATGGCTGCGTAGCCACTCCCTAGAGCGGCCAAGTGAAAACAGTAGCCTGTCGTTTAGCTAGGCTAAACGGGCAAAAGGGGTCCCTTGGGATGTGAAAAGGGCCGCAGAATGATGTGGGTGACATGTTTCTCCTCTGGAAGTGAAAACACATGACGGCTGAATCTGAAACACTGACATGCCCCTAAAATCTTCACTGGAGGTGGAGGAAACATGTCGTGACAGCAGTTGTTGCCACGTAAGATCTGGATTTTCCAAATCTTCAGTTTCTACCTGCTTCTCAGAGCGTTTGCCCTTCTTTTTCGCTGCTATGAACTCCGGGTCATACTTCACCACCCAAATCTGGCCACGTTGAAGGTAATGAAGAAGAGTTTCAGCAGCAGCGGCTTTGGTGAGGCCATCGGCCAACTGAGCATCGGAAGCCACCCACAACAAGGCAGTATTTTGACGCCTCAGGTTCTCGGTGATGGCCAGGAGGTCTAAAGCCGCGTACTTCTCCTTCAGGGAAAAACCAGAGCTAGCACCTTCGCCCTTATAGAAGGCATCGTAGACTGACTTGGCGTCGATGATGCAAGCACCAGAAATCTTTGCAGTTGCTTCTTCAGGCTTTCGAAGGTCCAGCTCCATTCCAATCAATTCGGCCCATTCAGCGCAAACAAACATTAGCTCTTGTTCACCATCTCCAAGGGCCTGAATTTCTGCAGAAAGGGAAGATTTGGCAACGCGCTGGAGTTTGCCGCTCTTCCACGAAATGGGATTTGCAATTCCCTTCTGTCCACGAAGGAAGGCCGCGTTCACCATGGCAATCATGTAGCCACCTGTCGATGACATATCAGGTCGATTGCCAACTGCAGCGTCCGTCCAACAAGCAAAGCCGACGTCCCCATCACGTCGAATGCCCAGGTTCTTGATGGCAATGGACTGAAATCGCTGAGCGTGGCATTCTCGGCAAAGTTTGTTGATCTGGTGCAAGATGTCCTTGGAGCCACGAGGCAAGGCACTCTGCAACCAGGAAAGCTTTGCTGAATGTTGAGGCCCGCTCTGGATTGCGCGCCATTGAATTGCGCCCAAAACTGCTCGCGCTTGAGTCATCTCCTCATTGGTGATGTTCTCAGCTTTGGTGTTGATGGAGATCTGGTTGATCTGCTCCACGTAGTTGCTGTGGTTGAACGTGAAGCTGTAATCAGCATTCTGTTCCAACGCAACTCCACAATGGGTGTAGGTCTGCTCCTCCCACGGGCTCCAAACAAAAGACTGCTTGAAGATTTCCATGGTTCTGACCCAAATTGGATTGTCCCACTCACCAGCGACCAGGAAATCATCCACATGGCTGGCAATGTAGCCAATGGTTCGGCCAGTCTTGGGATCCAGTTTGATCCAAATGCAAGGGTCAGTCTTGAGCCGTCGCATGTCGCACTTGTTGGAGGCCACCTCGTCAACTTCACCAAACCATTCACGAGGTGCAGAAACCAAACCATATGCAGCTTTCAACATGCGAGCTCCTTCACCAGGTGGAATTCCAAGAGCTTGAGCCAACTCAGAAACAGGTGTGATGAAAATATCACGGTGTTTCTGGGTCTGTCGACCTTGAAGAAACGCTGACTTGGCATCTGCCTTGTAAGTTTTCCAACGTCTCAAAGTTGACAAAGAAAGGCACAGCTGGCGGGATCTGCGTGACAAAGTTGGGGCTGCTGTCTCTAAAGATCCAAGGTCAGGATCGGTGAAGCCCAAAAGCACAATCCTCGCCTTGCATTTCACCTTAGTTTCATCACCATCAACTGCTTTGAAAACCAAAACCCATCGGGTTCGCATCAAGCGATTGCCCGGAATGACGCCTTTGAAGCGTTCACAAACTTTCTGTTGAACCCATTGAGAAACTTCTAGTTGTTTTGCTTCTGCCATCGCAGCTCTTTGAGTGGCATTAAGCTTGTGCCACGCAACTTCAGCTCCTTTTGAAACTGATTTGGCTGCAAACTTCGCTGGGTTCTTCAGCACCTTTTTCCATTCAGCTTCATCACTAGGCATGTCGATGATGACACCAAAAACGTCATCTTCTTTCTCATCAATGACCCAGTAGTTTGAAGCACTAGGGGCAGGTTCTGCTCGACCAAGTTGTCGCATCACATGAAGAGGTCGATCAGAAAGTTCATGTGATCGCCGTTGATTGGCGAATTCAATCCTCCTCCGTTTCAGCTCCTCAGTCTCCATCATTCGCATGGGAAAGTACGTGGGATCCACCAAAAGTCGATCCACGTTGAGATCCGGAGGTCTCATCTCAGCTTCAGGAACTTCATCAGGAGGTAGAGGTCCAACAGCACCAGGTTGATCTTGAGCATGTAGACCATCATCAGGGATCAGTTCTTCATCGGAGTCGATCATGTCAGGTTGGACAGGTTCTTGAAGATCTGCAGGTTGAGGTGGTTGCTCAGAGGATGCAGCTTCCGTAGAAAACCGTGGCACCTTGTTCTTGGGCTTGTTGAGAGAACCAGGAGGTCGTCCACGTCTTGGAGGCTCTTTTGTCAAATCCTCGTAGCAAAGTTCTTCCAAGGGATGTGAAGGTCCAAGGAAGTGTAGGGGCTTCAGTAGCCTCGGCTATCAGCTTCTCTCGCTCGCTGGCATGTCGCAGTTGACTCGAATGAGTCTTCTTCAGGCGACCTTGTGTGATGATCCACACAATGTTGGAAGGTGCACGTGTTGCTCCTTCATCCAGCACTCGGGTTTCTGAAGCTAAAACACGTCCAGGTCCAAACCATCTTGACACTTTCATGCTGGGCGTGTCAAGGAGGGCATGGGCAGGTGTATCTGCCGGTGTCTTGAAGCGCTTGTAGTAGACAAGGTCTCCAGGAATGAACTGGGTTGATTTCTGGACCTTGGCATTCAGAGCTCTTGAGATCTTGGCTTGGGCTTGAAGTTCTCGATAGCGACCTTCTGCACGAAGTCGAACTTGAAGACTGTGGTGCATCTCTGAGGTCGGGTCACCTTGAGAGCTAGCCAATGCCAAATTGTCTCGCTCATCCACATCTCTGCCAAAAGCCCATTGGTTGGGGGCATAGCCACCAATTCGTGCGATGCGATTGTGAGCACCACACATCTCTGCAGCAGCGTCGGCCGGGGAAGCTTCTGCTTCTTGACGAAGATAGGCAGCCATCTTCTTCTTGAGCTCGCCCACCGATCTTTCCACGTCCCCAATGGTCTCATGGTGCTCGGCAGGGCAAAAGGTTAGCTCAATGCCGCGCTCTTTGCAGAACGTTTCCAGCAAGTCGCCTCTGAAGGCTCCTTCCAAATCGCAACGGATGCGATGAGGCATCCCAAAGTATTGAAACCAGCACTGCTGCAAAATCTGCAGTGCTTCTGCAGTGGAGAGGTTTTCATGTTCTTCTTCATCATGAACTGAAAATTGTTTCACCACAGAAAAACCACTCGCCTCGTCCAGCATGAGAAGAAAGTGATGAACTTGGTCACCAAACTTGAAGTAAAAGGTGTCCATTTGCAAGGTTCGCCACAAAATCTCCTCCTTTTCCAAGGCGACTTTCACTGCAGGTTTGGTCATTTGACCCTCAAGACATTCTTGGCAGTTGAGCTTCTCGGCAACTGCCAGGGTTCGACCATCAGCTCCTCATGCAGCGAGGGTCTTCATCAGGGCTCTGTTGCTAGGATGGCCGCAAAGTCGATGAAGCTTGAGGACGCTCTGGGCCAGATGCTGTAGTTCCTGGTCTGTCATCAGCTTGAGGCTTTCTCGATCAACTTGCACATCCATGGCACCAAAGATGGAACCGGCTCGTTGATCTTGATGATAGGCATGACAAACTGCTTGAAAAAGTCTCGGCGTGTAGAGCGCCGAACGTCTGGCACGGTCGCCACCCATCGTTGGAACATGTTGGTGACGTCCAGGACATTGAATTGCCAGAGAGCTGTAAGCACCAGGCTTTGAGCATCTCAATCGCCAGGGTTTCTTGAGAAAACCTTCTGGAACTTGAAGTCCGTAACAACATCCATCCAGTTGAACATCTTCGCATCGATCAAGAAGACGTAGTGCTTGCCAGAAGTCAATCACTTCTGGGAAGTTCCAGGCTTTATTGTAGCGAGGCCATTCTTGGACGATCTCGCCACCAGCCAAAACTTGAGCTTCCATCACACGGATTCCATTTCTCACAAGCTTCTTAGAGCGTCGAATCCTTTCTCGGCTCTTCTTCTTTCCTTCTTCAGTCAATTCATTCAAAGCTTGGATAGGTGATGTAGGTCCGCATGGAAAACTCACCCACAAAAGTTTCGGCCGCAGCCTGTAGACTGCCGCAATTGCCAACTCAGTGCCGGGCTCCGTCATAAGGTCGAAGCCATTGTGCAAGCCAGCACGAAATGCCGTGCCGCCTGACTTTTCCATACACGTGCTAAGAAGGCTATCCTTCTCACAGCACAATTCCATCAAATCCAAGGGTCGTTGTCGATCTTCAGGAGATCGTAGATTGTGAAAGCACTCCTCCAGCTCCTCATGGTGGAAGTGCAAAGCCTCGTTCAGCATGTCCTTGTCGGAGATGTCCAACTGGTCATAGGTGACGTTTTCCATCCACGATTCTTCAACGTCCATGTTGAAGTCATACTTGGCCATGTCATCATCCTGGATGATCGCCGTGTTCTCATTGTTCAGAGCGTGGGACTTCGGGTCGACCTTGACCTCATAGTGGAGCTTGTTTATGGAGTTCCGGATGGCGGTGTCTCCGCCAGGCTCCAAGATTGGTTGGAGCGGTTGTCGTACTCCAAGTTCTCCGCAGGCTGATCTGGCTTCCGAGCTTTTCTTCCAGGTGTAGTTCCCATCTCCTCGGAAGGTTGAGGCACTGGGGTTTGAGGTCTTGGTGGCACCTCGGACGGCCCCGTCGAATTCAGATTCTTTTCCTCCTCTTTGTGCTGCTTCTGCCATTGAGCCTTCATTGCCCTCACGTGTGCAAGCTTCTTCTCGGCAGATGATTCCGCCGCATCCAGGGCAATGCTTCGATCTTTCATCTTTTCGTTGTACCCCGCATTGTTCGGGCCCACCTTCGCCACCATCTCTGTTGTTGTTGTGTCCGATGGCAAAGGGCCGCTCTTGCGGTGAAGGGCATGTGCCCCATATGCCGGGGTGTATGAAAGTCGAAGTAGGCATCTTTCGCATCCCTCCCACGATCCATGGGCGTTGCTGCCCGTCGGGCTGCCTCGGCCACCTTTGGCAATCGTGTGGTTGCCGTAGCAGGGCGCACCGGCACACCTCGGGTCTCTGGTGTCCGGACCCGTCGTCCGACTGGCGTCGAACTTGGCCTCCCAAGGAATCTTCGCCTTGGACTTGGTGGCAGCTTTGGAATCTGTCGGAGGGCTTTTCGCCTTGGCAGTCGGCTGAGCCATGAGCAGCAAGAGGAGAGGTAGAGGCTAAAAGGGCTAGGATCCGCAAGCTCATTGCTTGGTCTTGGTCCTCTGAAAATTGAGGTGGTACAAGCATTGAGGTTCTGGATCCGCTCGAACTTGAATTTGACATGTTGGTGGTGGCACTGGAAATGGTCATGTTCTGAAACTGCACTGAATCTTCGTGAACATGAGTCAAACTGCTATCATCAAACATCACAAAAACATCTTCAACTGCAGCTCGGCTGTTGTAGGTGAAGGTGTGCGCAACAATGTCAAAGTTCGCGCACGAGTGAGGTGCTGTAGGTGTTGAACTGGATGACATGTAACTGATCACCTCTTCACCTTCAACCTTTTTCTCAGCATCTTTCCAACAACCATCGAAGCTGACCACGCTGAAAGCTTTTTCTTCGACCGACGTGGGAGAAATCTCGGTCTGGAACAGGATTTTGGAACAAAGATCCAAGAGAAGATGTCCGGTTTGAGATCTCTTCAATGGAACTATCAGGGTCGGATCGACCGTTTTCATAACCAAGTAGCCTTGCTTGGTATCTAAAATTGCACCTAACCTCTCAAGGGTGCGTATCCCCAAAAGAAAAGAAGAGGGACTCCTGTGGCGTCTATCGTATACGCGCCAAGCTTGATCTCATGGTTTCCAACTTGTTGTTTTAAATAAACAAAAGATTCTGAAGATTGTGTCATCCCATTACCAAATCTAAAAACCTTACCCGGACCCGGAATAACTTCAACATGATCTGAATGTCCCAACAACTCTGTCCTTCTGCGGTGGATTGCTTCCAGCGCTGCAAGGGAGGTCACGGTCTCCGTGGCGCCGGTGTCCAGCACTGCATGACCTTGAAGATCAGGGCTGGAGATCTGGTTCATCCAGACATCGTCAATGGCCATCGAAGGTCTCGCCATAGACGGCGAAGACGAAAAACCACCAGCGTCCTCTAAGGCCTGCACCATGTAGACGCCCTTCGAAGACTGCTTGCCCTTGCCACCTTTTGGTCCACGGTTTGGACATCCGCGGAAGTCGTGGGTTTTGCTCCCACAAATGAAGCATCCAGTGTAGCCAGGCTGGCCCACACTCACCATCACATCAGACGGCTGGCTTTGGAAGGCTGCTGCAGAAGATGATCTTGCAGCAGTCATAGGTTTACCTTTGCCCATTGCCAAAGCCCTTCTTGCCCTTGAATCACTTGCCCTTGTAGTAGCCACGATTGGCACCTTTGGACTTCATGAGCTCTCTGGACTCGCTGAAAGATCTGACCTTTGCTTCATAGGCTGCATAGGCATCGCTCAGGTCTTTCTGCTGTTCTGGGGTCGCACTCCACCAGGCTGCTTCGTCCTGGAATTCATCCCAGGTCCAGAAAACTCCTTCTGCATCTTGCGTGTAGTACTCACCGTCGGTGTGCTGAGACCAAAAGGTGAACTGACCGTTGGTGTCCTGAAACCAATAGCCATCCTCAGCAGCTGTCCAGTGAGGTCCATCGGCTGTAGGCAAAGTCGTCGGAGTTGGTGTCACCGACGAAGCATAGACCGCACTGATGTCCTTGCCGACCCAGTGCACGTCTTCGGTGTTCCCCTCAAGGAGGTCTGCATCTTCTGAGGCCAGCAAGCCCCACTCTCCATTCTGCTCGATCCAAAAGTTGGGACGAGCATAGTGCCGTCCCTTGCCCTTGCCGCGGGCTTCAGACTCTTGGACTCTGAGTTCATCTTCGGCACCACGTAGAGCCTGCTCGATGTCCTCGGCCTTCAAGGAGTTCTCCGTAGCGCTCAACACATTTAAGCGCTGTTGAGGTGTGAGGCTGCATCGCCTCAGCATCAGCCACCCCAAAAGCTCTGTTGGAAGAACTTCTGGAAGACCTGTGTCCATGTCTGACCACATCTTCGTCCTCCAGGATGTTGCCTCCTCTGAAGAAGACGAAGATCCATCTGCTACTTTGCGCTTGCTTGTACGGCTCGGCGTGGGAGAGCCATACTGCTTGCCCTTCCCCTTGCTGTAGCCTCGTTGAAAGGCCATTTCACCCGTCTCGGGGTCTTCAACCAATTCTTCTCTTCCATCATCATCACCTTGTCCATGAGGTAGAGGATCACCAGGGGAAGCGGATGCCGTAGGTCTCTCAGGAGTTGGCATCTGCTCAGGTTCAGGCACTGAAGCCTTCGAGCCCTTTTTGGTCCTCATAGGAGAAGAGCTTGGAGATCCATTGCCAGGGGTTGGAGTCGGTGAAGTGCGGTCCCTCCCTATTGTCGAAGGGGAAGGCACCAGCGACTCCTCATCATCTCGTCCAGGGCTTGTAGGCGAAGATGGTCTGGCGCGCTTCAAAGCGCGCTGGAGCTTCCTGTAGGACTCCCTGACTGTCGCGCACCAGGTTGCCATCGTCATTCCTTGAGGTCGACGTAGGCGAACAAGTAGTTCTTCTGCCCTGGCACCTGCGTCAGGCACTGGCACTCTCGCCAGCTTGTCCTCCAAGAACTCCACCAAATAGCGAGCGCCATCTGGCTGCGTCAGACGCCCATGGTCGATCTCCTGGGTGATCACCCATGCCCTGCCAGTCAGCTGACTGACCAGGTCCGGACCCAGGAGTCGACGGCGTCGACGCCTCGTCTTCTCAAAGGCCAGTCTGACCTTCCTCACATAGTCCTGGAACGTAGTGATGTCACCGTCCCAGGCACATCTAAATCTCTCATCTTTCTCGGCCATGGTGTCCCGAAAGACTGTCTCCACAAACTGCCAGTCGCAAGCGCTGATTGCTTGCCACTGAAGTCTGTGAAGTTATACTGCAGGTCTCCAGCACAGATTGCCCAAAAGCGTTATGGTCAAAGGAGAGGTCGTTGTCACAGCGTTCTGAGGCTCACCCAAGGTCCTTGGCGTCCAACTGCTCCGTGTCACCACTCTCGCAGCAGGAACCACTCAGGGCTCCGCTACCAGTGTCGTGACGACACTGGCAGCGCCCTCCAAAAACGTTGTTGTGGGGTGTGGTGCCCAACCAAACTTGTTACACTTCTCGATTTGCAAGGCACGTTGACCACACCTTTTCCCGCCTTCTTCACGAGGGCGTCCAGCGCCGCACTATGGCTGCGTAGCCACTCCCTAGAGCGGCCAAGTGAAAACAGTAGCCTGTCGTTTAGCTAGGCTAAACGGGCAAAAGGGGTCCCTTGGGATGTGAAAAGGGCCGCAGAATGATGTGGGTGACATGTTTCTCCTCTGGAAGTGAAAACACATGACGGCTGAATCTGAAACACTGACAGACATTCACCGTGACATCTTTATTTGCTTTTGCCTCCACATAGGAGAATGGCCCCCCTCAGGATGGTTTGCAGGTCCGCAGGCTAACATATCAGGATAGACAGAAGTTCAAATTGTGCCCTCAAACAATGGCAGGTTAGCAAACATCTCTCGCAGCATGCGAACTGCCACATGTTGACAAATGATGGCTTCCCAAAGCGATGGTCGAATGCTTCGCAGTTTTCATCACCAGCCTGGAGGTTTCCTAAAATGCTAATTACCCCGACAACAGTAGGTTTCAACCGGTTTCAACTGGTTTCAACTGGTTTCAACTGGTTTCAACTGGTTTCAACTGGCTTCAATCCTGAAATGCTCTGACTTGGATGATTTGGTACCGGTTTTTCCAAGCAACGGATACGCAACGGCGCCCGGCAGCACAGCGGGCGCACCAGGCACGCCCACCAGGGCACCAGGCGGGCCCGGCAAGACCCGCAGCTGAGGACCTAAGCTAAGGCCCATGAACATACCCTCTGGATATTTAACATAGCCATGGAAAATGGCCCATTTATAGATGGTTTACCTATTATAAATGGTGATTTTCCATGGCTATGTTAAATAACCAAATGGTAGATGATTTACCGAAAAAAAGGATCAAAATGGTGATGAAATTGATGAAATCATGGATTTTCAGAAACATGTTCCATAGGTGGAAAAATCAGATTTTTTCACTAAATGTTGGATCTTCACCTAGAAAAGAATGGACTTCATGAGCACAAACTTTGTTTCCAAAGATTGAACTGTAGCCAGAAAGAGTTGGGAGTTGATGCAGTAAAATTAAGAAGGTTCAAATGAAAAACGATGGGATGTCAACTTGAAGCGTCAACAAGTAAACATGTTTTTTTCACCTGCACACATTTGGTTTTGACGGGTTGACCTGCAAAATTGTATTCTTTTACCAGATTTACTTGGGTTTTCACCACAGATCATTGGGAAGCCGACTACTATTCTAGCTACAACTTGGTGATTCTCCATGTCGCACACCGGGTCCCCCGGCCCACACGTTGCATGGCAAAGCGTGGATCCTGTGCGGCGGCAACCAATATCAACCATGTTCAAATCAACCCTCCGGAATATGTTTGCAATTATATAATATGTTCTCAGTGGTTTGATATGTGTATAGTATATTAAAATATATCATAGTATACACAATGATATTCTTATCATTATAAATGTATACATAAATGTACGTATCATATCGTATCATATCGTATCGTATCATGTCGTATCGTATCATATCATGTCATATCCCCGTTTTTTTTGGGTTTAAGCTTGGTGATTTGTTTCTCCACTGCTACAAGTTTAATCTAAGTAACTGTTTTGGGACGTACTATAAACGCCATTAACCAATCTCTACTCCCCCGAAAAAAAAAAAAAAACTAGTTTACAGGAAACATCAGGAAATGATGGGTTTTCGTCAGTAATTGTCAGGCTGGAATTCCTATCAGCAACCCATCAACAGAGGCGCCTGTGTCAGCAGCATGACGTTATGCCACACCTGGCTCATGCTGATATCAACACTCAAAACTGCGCCCTTCGGCACCAGAAATGATTGTTGACTATGGTTAAGACATGCATCATTTTTTGTGGCATGATCAAACACGGAGGGATTAAAATCATCAGTTGGTCACGTCCAATTTGCACCAACTGAGGGGATCGAAACTTCCAGATGTAGCCTCTGGTCCAATAATACTGGAGATTAGAGAAACACCACCACTTGGAAGAGGATTTTTTCTGTAGATTGGAGAAATTGAAGATTAGAAAGGAAGAATATCTCCCTGTACTGCTAAATCCTCTGGAATGGAAACACCTTTGAAAGGAAACAGAAGGATCCGCATCTTTTGGATACCAAAGGATTCCATATCAAACACCTACTACACATAGATCATCATAGAAGCAATACCTGGGGCGTCTCAGGTACAGTAAGGACCTGACGAAACTGAATGACCTTCAGAGAGCACCCAGCGATGAAAATCCCACAATTACAACGGCAGTGAAAACACACTATAGTTCTTGTAAAATTTCCTATGTTCTATAGTGTTCTATGATAATTAATAGGAAACACCTATTGGAAGCTTTTATAACCATCATTTGATCCAAGAAAACCATGACACTTGCCTGCTACAGGACGGGGCGCTTCCCGGAAGTATCGCTACCAGGTGGACTCTGAACTCGAGCCGAGATGATCCACGCTGAACTTTCCGGAAGTGAAGACACTTTCACCGTACCAAGTACCAAGTAGCTATCTGTCTTAATGTGTTCACAAGATTTTTGACTTTAGGGTGAAATACAATTGCGAATGTGAAATTTGCAATATCTGGGTACACATCGAAATGGGAACAAGAATGTTCTTCATATGTTCTTCATAGATGTAGATGGTACTTGTGTCGCCAAATCGTCCTGATGTCCATGTGGTGAAGGGTGAAGAGTGATACAAGTGCTCCTCCCTTTTCCTTGATTCTTACATACAGGTCCCAATTTGCCATGTTTAACTTGTAGGCCTCTCCCAGGTATCAACTCCTCATTCCACGTATACGAAAGTTTGATACCGGGATAGGAAAATGATTGCAATTCTCGAATCAGTATTAGAATCCATTCTTGGGATGACTTCCCGTTGCCTGTCATGCACGCTGTCCTAGGTCGGCCATGAATTGGGAGGATTATATATATATATATTTATATATGTATACATATACATATGTATACATATATATATATATATCGAATTCCCATCATCTTCGAATTCCCATGTCCAGATTGATCTGATTTTCTTGAAGTAGCTTTGTCTGATAGAATACCTCCAATATACCCCCAATATATCCCCAATATACCCCGAATATCGAATGGATAACCATCTGAATCCCACATGACAGGTCCGTACCATCCGGGCGCATGGAGGGTCCATGACACCTCCTAAGACGGCCACGATCAACCCCATCGCCAGGGCATTTCGGCGATGTCCTGGACGGTCGGTGGAGAAACATAGAGAAACCATCCACCAGTCAGTAACTATATTGGGTAACTATGAAACACTGTAGAGAATGGGATCATGATGGGAACTATCTACCAACTGTAGATTTCTATAGATTTCTTCCATCCAGTGGGAAAAATCCATGGGAAATATGTGGGAACGGGAACACCGATAAAAAGAAGGAAATTCATTGAATGATCCACCATTTCATGGAGATCTCATTGGGAGATAAGGATGTGATGGGAGATATATAGAACCAACAAATCAAGACTATGAACTGGGTTTGCCCGAAATAATCTATGTATATTTATGGATTTATTCCTTGGCAATGCTGAAGGGAACATGTTTTTCTCAACCGTTGGATAGAGAGGCCGAATCATGAACCATACCCAATTTTTACAATTTGGATGTTTTAAAGTTTTGATGAACTTTTGGAAATAAATTGTCAACAATAGTCAATAGATTCTTCAACATGACGATGTTCCTGTTCAAAACGATGCCCTGGTGTTCCACTAGTGATCAAGCTGAGGTATTGGTCGCGTCCGCTTCGCTCTGAGCAAGATGATCCGTTCCGAAAAATGATATCTGAGATAATCCTATAAAATAATGGGATGTAATGAGATATAGGAAAAATAAATGGATATATGTATAATAATGGGATATAGGGATATATGTATGGGAGATGTTTACAAATTTGCAATATGGGATGATGGGATACAGTCGGATCTATTTATATATACATAATGATGTAATATATATATATATACTGGAATATAATGTTGGTAGAATGATGTTTCACCGTTACACCCATTTTTGCATCAGAATTTTACTCCAAACATGTGGAGCCCATCAACAAAAGTTTTCGGATGTCAGCGACAGCACTTGATGAGAATGATTTCATGATATCCATTTTGGAGACTCATTCAGCCTCAGTTTTCTCATGCCTTATTATTGTGTTTTTTTGATTGAAATCCATGGAATCTTCTACACAATTCTCTCATCGTTTGCGAAGTGTCCCATTTGCACATCGAGGAGATAGTCTCATTCACAAAAAAGTGAGATATGTCCCAAGCGGTTTTTACAAAATCTGAAACATCACTGGGACTTTCATGGAATTTCACTTTGGGATTTTGCAACACCTCCTTGATTCGTCTCTTTGTTCCTTTGTGACTGTTCAACATGTCGGTGCACATTCCACCTTTGGGTAGAATTCCCCGAGAAATGCAACATTGCCTGGAGCAAAGCCAGGTGATAGTCACACTTACTATAGATATAGATACAAAATTCATCAACATGATACACATATATTATTTAATGGATCACCATTTGAAACCAAATGAAGTTAGAGATATCCGAAATATTATAGTGTATACAATCATCCTGAAGTAAATCGAACAAAAGACTGTCCATTGTAGTGAGACTTGTATTGACACGTCCATACCGGCTCCAGGATGACTGTATATACATATGTCCTGCCTCTTCCGAGAATTTTCCATAAAATGAATCCATAAATAAATCCAATATAATATATATATATAACATATATATATAATATACATTTATTACATTACATCACATCACATCACATCACATTACATACATATCTACCATAAATCCCAGTTAACCTTCCTATTTCTTGTGGCTCTCCCCATGAGTTCTTGGTCGCCAGAGGGATCGCGTCGAATATCGACCCCATCCTGGACGCATCGCCATGGCTTCGCGTTGAATCGTGGTTGAAAATGGGCGCTGGGCTGCAGTGGCTGCAAAAGAACATATACGTGTGTATATATAAGATAATATCAAAAATTGTAGTAAATAAATGTTAAATATATGTTTAATATGTATATAATACATAACATATAAAAAAGTATAAACGATATTATTTTGAAAATAAAACGATATAAATAAAAGAAAAATAGTATATTTGATTTTTAAAATTGCACAATAAACTAATATAATATACTAAAGTAACAATATAATAAGATAATATAATAACATAATATAATATAACATGTTAGAATATAATATGAAAAAAGATATTAATAAAAATGTAAAATCAATTTTAATAAGATATGAATATAAAGATAAAATAAATTACATAATATAACACGTGATATATGATTTATGGAATCTATAATACATGATGTATAGTATACAATGGCTACTATATATATATACACAATAAACATTTTATAATATATAATATATAAATGTAGTATATAATATATCATTTCTAAAAATATATGAAATATAATATATGATAGATAATATATAATCTATATAATATGAAAATATTTATAATAATAATAATAATAATGTATATATAGTATGTATATATATAATAGAATATACTATAATAATCTATAATTTATAATCTATAAACAAGATATAAGATATAAAATATGAGATATAAAATACAATGTATAACATGTAACAATTGATGTTCGATATATGATATATGATATAATGTGTTTCTATATAGTGTATATAATATGTCTATAATATGTCTATAATATGTCTATAATATGTCTATAATATGTCTATAATATGTTTATTATATGTCTATAATATGTCTATAACATGTCTATAATATGTCTATAATATGTCTATAATATGTCTATAATATGTCCATGTACATAAACGATATAAGAAGGTAGATAGATAGATAGAAAGATAAATAGATAGATAGATAGGTAGGTAGGTAGGTAGGTACGTAGGTAGATAAATAGATAAATAGATTAATAGATATTAATAGATATTAATAGATATTAATAGATATTAATAGATATTAATAGATATTAATAGATATTAATAGATATTAATAGATATTAATAGATATTAATAGATATTAATAGATAAATAGATATTAATAGATAAATAGATAAATGAATAAAAAGATAAATAGATGAATCAGAGAAATCAGAGAAATCAGAGAAATCAAATGAATCAGATGAATCAGGTAAATCACATAAATCCCATAAATCACATAGATAATGATAGATAAAAGGATGCATGAATAGATAAGACAAATAGATAGAC